GGAGGGCTCCACCCATGAAGGGTTCGCAAAGAAGCAACCTTGTCTATCCCACCATCACTCATTTCGGTGAGACCGAAATGTTACGAAGAGGAAACAGAGAGTTTGCATTGCAAACTGATACGTCTCCAACGTATCTATAATTTATGAAGCATTCATGCTATTAAATTATCCATCTAGGATGTTTTATATGCTACTTTATATTATTTTTGGGACTAACCTATTAACCTAGAGCCCAGTGCCAGTTTCTGTTTTTTCGTTGTTTTTGAGTATCACAGAAAAGGAAAACCAAACGGAGTCCAATTGACCTGAAACTTGACGGAGCTTATTTTTGGACCAGAAGAAGGCCATGAAGTAAAAGAACTGGGCCAGAAGAGTCTCGGGCTGCCCACGAGGGTGGGGGGCGCACCCACCCCCCTGGGCGCGCCCCTGCCTCGTGGGTAGTCCGAAGACCCTCCTGCCTTGTTCCCGACTCCAACACCTCTTATATAACCCAAAACTTCCAAAAAGAAACCTAGATTGGGAGTTCCGCCGCCAGAAGCCTCCGTAGCCACCAAAAACCAATCTAGGCCCTCACTGGCACCCTGCCGGAGGGGGCCATCATCACTGGAGGGCATGGAGGAGGATCCCGGAGAGGCCATTATCGTCATGAAGGCCAAGGACCAGAGGGAGAACCTCTCTCCATCCAGGGGGGATGCCATGGAGGAGGAAGCACAAGGGGGAGAATCTCTCCTCCTCTCTCTTGGTGGCACCGGAGTGCCATCAGGAGGGGAATCATTGCCGCGGTGATCGTCTTCATCAACACCACCATCATCATTACCATCCTCATCTCTTTTACGCGGTCCACTCTCCCGCACCCCGCTGTAATCCCTACTTGAACATGGTGCTTTATGCCACATATTATGATCCCATGATGTGTTGCCATCCTATGATGTTTTGAGTAGATATCCTTTGTCTTTGGATTGATTGATGGTCTAGATTGGTATGAGTTGTATGTTTTACTTTGGTGCTGTCCTATGGTGCCCTCCATGTCGCGCAAGCGTGAGGGATTCCCGCTGTAGGGTGTTGCAATACGTTCATGATTCGCTTATAGTGGGTTGGCGAGTGACTGAAACACAAACCCGAGTAAGGGGGTTGTTGCGTATGGGAATAAAGAGGACTTGATGCTTTAATGATATGGTTGGGTTTTACCTTAATGATCTTTAGTAGTTGCGGATGCTTGCTAGAGTTCCAATCATAAGTGCATATGATCCAAGTAGAGAAAGTATGTTAGCTTATGCCTCTCCCTCATATGAAACCGCAATAGTGATTACCGGTCTTGTTAATAATTGCCTAGGACAATTCCGCACACCGATCCACCATTATTCCACACTCGCTATTTATAATACTTAGTAATATATTCTAACTTTATGATAACAACACCTACTTCCATATTTTAGCTCTCCGATATCATGCAAAATTATCCACTTCATACCCACAACGTAGTTTTATTTCTCGTTTCTAGTTGGAAGCAAACGTTCGGTGTACGTAGAGTCATATCAGTGGAAGATAGGGCTTGAGAGAATATTGATCTTACCTTTAGCTCCTTGTGGGTTTGACACTCCATACTTATCACTTCCACCTTTGGAAATTGCTACGACGATTCCCTGCACTTGGGGATTATCACAAACTCGGTGGGACCGATCGCTCATCTCGGTTAGACCGAAACGTTACGAAGGGAAACAGAGAATTTGCAATCCCATCTCGGTGAGATCGAGATCACTATCGGTGAGACCGAACTGATTAGGGTTTCTGGCTATGGATATGTCAAATGAACTCGGTGGCGCCGGATAGATCAAATCGATGGGGCCGAGTTTGACTTTTGGTTCAGGACATGTGTGGAACTGAGAAAGTGGTTGAGAGCTTTTGGAGCATATCACTAAGCATTTTGAGCAAGAAAGCCATTAACCAACACCTCATCCCCTTTTAATAGTATTGGCTTTTCCTATGGACTCAATGTGATCTTGGACCACTAAAATGAAAATGTAGTCTTAAGCTTTTGCCAATATGTGTCCTTAGCATTTTGAGGGGTCCACATCTTTAGTCCATGTCATGCCAATCATTGAACTTTCTGAAAAGATTATCTTGAATGGATATTAGTTCAATGAGCTATATGTTATTAATAATTACCAAAACCACCCAGGGATTAATTGCACTTTCACTGTTCCTCAAGAACTCTCCATATGGTGTAAGCACATTCAAGAGTAGGCAAGCATACAATCAAATTTCTAGGCAATCCTCTAATGATAAGATTGATAGTTATAATATTGCGGATCATGCCAAGAGACTCATCGGGGGTAGGATGCAAGTGATCAATAAGGGTGCACAAGGGCTAGTAATGTACTTGTTCAAGTGATATTCAGTGAAAATCTCAAGCATCTCATTTTTCCAAGCATTAAAGAACTCTCCATCAAGCATAGGCACTCTATGTCTAAAACTCCCCATCGTAGACTTATCCATCTTCCTCTAATGGTGATTAAACCAAAGCAACGGAGACCAATGCTCGGATACCACTTGTAGGATCGAAAGTAGGTCTAGAGGGGGGGGGTGATTAGACTACTTTACCAAATAAAAATCTAGCATTTTCCCAATTTTAAGTCTTGGCAGATTTTAGCAACTTAGCACAAGTCAAGCAATCAACCTACACATGCAATTCTAAGAGTATAGGAGCGAATGTAAAACATTGCATATGAAGGTAAATGAAGGGGTTTGGAAAGGCAAACGCAATGTAGACACGGAGATTTTTGGCGTGGTTCCGATAGGTGGTGCTATCGTACATCCACGTTGATGGAGACTTCAACCCATGAAGGGTAACGGTTGCACGAGTCGACGGAGGGATCCACCCACGAAGAAGCAACCTTGTCTATCCCACCATGGCCATCATCCACGAAGGACTTGCCTCACTTGGGTAGATCTTCACGAAGTAGGCGATCTCCTTGCCCTTACAAACTCCTTGGTTCAACTCCACAATCTTGATTAAGGCTCCCAAGTGACACCTAACCAATCTAGGAGACACCACTCTCCAAAAGGTAATAGATGGTGTGATGATGATGAACTCCTTGCTCTTGTGCTTCAAATGATAGTCTCCCCAACACTCAACTCTCTCTCACAAATTTGGCTATGACGGAAAAATGATTTGAGTGGAAAGCAACTTGGGGAAGGCTGGAGATCAAGATTCTTGTGGTTGGATTGGAATGTCTTGGTCTCAACACATGAGTAGGTAGTTCTCTCTCAGAAAATGAGTAGTGGAAGTATAGGCACGTTCTGATGGCTCTCTCTTGAATAGAGAAGGGGGTGGAGGGGTATATATAGCCTCCACACAAAATCTAACTGTTACACACATTTGACCCAACTCGGTCAGACCGAATAGGTGAACTCGGTGAGATCGATTCAGTTCAAAATGTGAACATTGGGATTCTTGGTGAGACCGATTCAGTTCAAAATGTGAACGTTAGGACTCTCGGTAGGACCGACATAATCAACTCGGTGGGACCAATGTGCTAGGGTTAGGAGAAAACCTCGTCTTGGTTTAACCGATTACATAAACTCGGTGAGACCGATTTCAGTAATAAGCAAACAGAGAGTTTGTCAAGCAGACTCGGGGGGACCGATTGCATATCTCGGTGAGGCCAAGATAATTACAATAGGAAACAGAGTTTGCAAGGCCATCTCGGTGAGACCGAGATCCCATCGGTGAGACCGAATTGATTAGGGTTTCTAGCAGTGGCTATGTCAAGTGAACTCGGTGGCGCCGGGTGAATCAAATCGGTGGGGCCGAGTTTGACTTTAGGTTTTGAACATATTTGGAATTGAGAAAGTGGTTGAGGGCTTTGGAGCATATCACTAAGCACTTTGAGCAAGTAGATCATTAAGCAACACCTCATCCCCTTTTAATAGTATTGGCTTTTCCTATGGACTCAATGTGATCTTGAATCACTAAAATAGAAATGAAGAGTCTTGAGCTTTTGCCAATCTTTTGTCCTTAGCATCTTGAAGGGGTTCCACATCCTCTTGTCCATGCCACGTCTTTGTTGTACTTCCTGAAATATACTAGATGGAAATATTAGTCCAACAAGAGATATGTTGACATTAATTACCAAAATCACCCTGAAAGCACTTGTGCTTTCATAAACTTAAGGCAATTTGTGATTGGTATTTGTGGTGGCAAAGGAGGAAATTAGTGCATGATAAATCACCACGGGATGCCATGAGCATACCTTTATCAGTCCGTGCCCTTGCAGTAAACTTTACGACCGTTTATACTCCAAAGGATGTAGTGAAATGTGATAGATGGTGTCTGCCTCCGAGGAGACTTGTTAAGGGTCCCTTGGTGTAGTTATACGGAAAGAAAACAGGTGCAAGAGGATCGAGTGGGGCTCTAATGTATTGGGGCCGAAGCAATGACCCTTCGCTTTTCGACTCTCTATATCCTTTTCAGTGAGCTGCAAGAAGATAATTGCCAACTCTAATATCTTGAAGTTATAGAGACCATGACAACTGGCCGTCACTCGGCTGCTAATTTTATGGATTGCTACCATTTGGCTTGTGATTTTGTTGTTTCATTTTTTATACATTGTTATATGAAAGCTTCTTTTCTTGGTGAATGGATTGAAGATGCTCCTAGTGAACTTGTTTCACTTTTGCTATATATTGTGTAGCTATGATTACAAGTAAATAAAGAGGAGGGTTTGATTGTAAGAAAAGGAGAGCAGTATTTAGCTTTGTCCCTTTTCTTCCCCTCTGCTGTGCTTGTCTCGCCTCCCTGTTCCCCGCCTTCTCTCTCTGCGGCAGCAATAAAAATAAATAAATCTGGCGCAGGTGCTGGGAGGAGGACGACGCACGCACCGTCACAAGCAGCTCAATCTCTTTCTCCTTTTCTTTTCTCTGCCCCCTCCCTTATCCCCACGCCCAGGAAACGCGTCTCCGGAGGAGGAAGGGAAGATTTCATCTTTTTTGCCCCCAAGATGTCCTCCCCAAGCAAGCGCCGCGAGATGGACCTCATGAAGCTGTGAGGATCTTGGAAATGTTTTTCTTTTGTGGGTACAAGCGATTGATTCCTTCCTTGGAGGCTCGGTTTTAATCTGGATTTTCTTGGGGGGGCGGTTCTTGGTTGTTGCAGGATGATGAGCGACTATAAGGTGGAGATGGTGAACGATGGGATGCAAGAATTCTTCGTGGAATTCCGAGGGCCTACTGAAAGTATGATCCTCGCGCAAAATCCGGTTTCTGTCCTGTTTCTTGGGCTCATGATCCGCGTTTATGTTCCCGATTTCTGATCTAGATGTAGTGCAAAGCAACTCTGGCGGAAATTGTGAACCCCCCTGTTGATCGTATGACATTCCTTATCATTTACAAGTGGTTTAGCTCAAGATTTAGGTTACGTTTGCAGATGAATTGCTCGCTTGTTCATTTGCCCTGGAGCATCTTCGCGATTTGGTGAATTTAAGTACAGTATATCTTTTCTGTTGTATGGGAAGAGCGGCTATATTTCTAATCAATTGTGGATGTGTTCTAAATTTGATAGGTATTTATCAAGGTGGTGTCTGGAAGGTTAGAGTAGAACTGCCTGATGCATATCCTTACAAATCTCCGTCAATTGGTTTCATTAATAAGATTTATCACCCGAATGTGGATGAAATGTGAGCATTTTTACCATCAAATTCTTTTGGTTAGCATAAGCAACAAAATTCGCACTGGTCTAACCTACTTTTTGTTTGCCTGCAAAATGTAGGTCTGGTTCCGTATGTTTAGATGTTATTAACCAGACATGGAGCCCAATGTTTGGTGAGCACTTGCTGCTTACAATTTGTACAAGCACTCCCTGATTATAGGTTCTCTATCTCATCTTATTTTTATTTGGGATTGTTGTAGATCTAGTAAATGTGTTCGAAGTCTTCCTTCCACAACTTCTGTTGTACCCAAATCCGTCTGATCCATTAAATGGAGAGGCTGCTGCACTTATGATGCGAGATCACCCTGCTTATGAACAAAAAGTGAAAGGTGATTTGGTTCAACATTATCCACTAATTGTTCTTGATATCGACTCTAGAGTCTCATTATTTAATTCTTGCTCGCAGCATTTCGCTACTGATCTATGCCTTTCGTACGCATGCAACCTTGCAAGATTGCAGACACATTTTAGTTATTTTGTTGTCTTTGTTGATATGGCATGCAATCTAAGGCAGCCAACTATGAGTATGTTGATCGTACAGTCTTCCTTGGTACGTTTGTTCTGTTATGTTGTGTAAACAAAAACATATGAACAAGCCTTTGGTTCAACTATTATAAAAATATCAATACAACTGAGCGCACTCCATCCTAGCTGTTCTATTTTGTGGATAAAATGCTTGGGCATAGTTCTTAAACTCATTTTGCAGCTGTATCAACAACCATACTGTAACACCGTAACTTGTGTCTTCTACAACTCTGTTATTGAGGGAATCGGCAGTTTGCCACTTTAGAGCTTTTATTATTCTAGTGCTTTCTAGTCCTTTCCTGGTTGATGTTGAGGCATTTCCCCTTGTCTCAGATGGATCTTGTCAGATCTGGTTCTTTGCTGTTTCGTGAACATGTTAAGGATCTAATTTGGATTGGTTAGTTCTTTCATCCTAGGGTTGCCAATACTGATGTTCTTCCAGTTGTAACCTAGTCACATACACAAAATGAAGTTAATTGAATA